AACTGAATTGCATTTGAAGTTTTCTTGGTGTATCGGTGTCTAACAACTCGAAAGGCGGGGTTAGATGCCAAAGATGTTGAATTCAGGGTTTCTAAAGCACCGAGTTTTTCAGTAGATACGCCAAAGGTATCCCAAGGCACTAATCGGCCTGGACCAACATTGAATGCTCTCCATACTCGAATACCATTCATTTCGTATTCAAAGTTATCTAGCAGGCTTATACCATCCCACTTCAATGAAAGTGTGCTAGCAGTTGTAGCAGCAACATAGGTGGCCTTAACTCCAGTTAGTCCTTGTCCTGATTCAATACCAGTTTTGAGTTGTAAAGCGTTGTTTACATCATGGCCTTCATTTACATACCTTCCAATTGCCCCCTTAATTGTGGCTACTTGGCTATCGCACGCTCCCTTTCCTCCCTGGGGATCCGAAAAGTCATTCCTTATTATAGTCACGCCAGCAAGATCACCAGCCAGCTTAGCAGATACAATGGAATTTCCGCTATGATAACAGCCAGCGTTGTCTTGTTTATAGTACGCTTTTTCCAGATAAGGCATTTCTTTTTTCAGCAAACGAAGACAATCTACCATTATGCCAGACACCGTGCTGCTGTCTTGTGTACAGCTTTGAAACACATGAACAATGGTTGTAGACTCAAGGTGCTTGTTATCTTGTGACTTCCRAACAGCAACCGTAATGTGCCATGGGAGACCACGCTTGGCAAACCAGTCAGACTGGGCTTCTCTGAATTTCCGTGGTATATACTTCATTGCCCAGTCTTGTACCAAGAGCACAGATTTGTTATCAAATTTGTTTAGGACGGAATGCTTTGCCTCATCTTGGTGGACAGATCGCAATAGATGGGCTTTCCAGGACAAGATAGCATCTTTAGCGCGTTGGAGCACATACACCATGTCACTTTTCTCTTCTCCATCACTACATGATGTAGTGGCGCATTCATTTTCCAAGATGCGAAATACGTTTTTCAACTGAGAGCATTGCGCACATGAATCAAGGTGGAGATGGTCACAATCGCCTTTGAAGTCTGCGTCGTTCGGGTCACTAAGCACATAAACGCGACAATGATCTGAAATGGTCGACGATTCAGCAACATGCAACTAAAAAAAGAGATTAAACGGATCAATTGATTAAATTAAGGTTTCAGTAAATTTACRCAGGCAACGAATGTTACTCTATTCGGTAGATACCAACCTTATAATCACCCTTCAGGTACTGTTGTGATGATCGTAATTGTTGCTTGATGTCTCTACCCCAAATTTGAGTTTTTCCACAATCAATTAGTTTGTCAACAAGGCTGTCAAGCTCGTCAAAGGCGTCACTTCCCTGTGCTGAAAAATTATCAAGTCCTTGGAGAGATGTACGAGT